ACACCAGTGTGTAATTCGTTCTATCCTGGGAGGAAATAATCCATAACCTTGGATACTAGGAGGTGATTAAATTCTTTAAGGAAACACTGTGAATACAGTGGGCTCGAATTAATTTCTGTTTCATTTATATTTACGCTTATAAGCTAACGTTCTAATTTCCATAATCATTATTTACAAATACAGGTTAACTAACATATTGTACGCAGTCTTACCCTGCATTTCTGCAAGAGGTTGTTTTCCCGGCTTGAACTTGTGACCTTCTAATCACATAACAACAACTTTACCAGTTACATCAACAATAATCGAGAGAGTAGGCTTCCACGCTCCTACCTCTTTTGTAGTGCGTACTTGATGAAGTCTCCATAAAAAACGAGGGGAAATCATATAGCAATATTTGGTTTGAGTGTGAGACGGGTGATTAGTTTTGTTCGTTGCCGGCACTAGAGTTTCATTCGCTGCATTTCTGCTCGCTGTTTTGACTTTTGTCAAGCGAAGAATCAATTACTGGTATCATAGATTAATTTCTTTATTATGATCTGATATCATTTGATACCGCTTGATAAAAAACTAGGCTATGATACCACTTGATAATAATTGTAAACATTTAAATTTTTATTGTACCCGAGTTTTGCACCATTTTAATGTTTAGATATTTATTTTAGTTATATATATTTAATATTGTGAATTTTTCATTTTAAATTATCCTACTTGAGAGGGTTCGTTGTATTTTTGTACCCCTAACTTATGCCCTATTTTGCAAATTAATAAAATCACACTTTTAAAATTTTTCCAAGAGGATGAAATAGGAAATACAAATAAAAAAAGAAATAGCATAAAATTTAAAAAATTTAACAAAATATATTGGTCACTTTTTAACCACATTATACATGCATCAAAGTTCTCCTTCAAATTTCTCATTAATGAAACGAGTTATGTTCTTAGAGTTCGTTTGGCTAAGCTGCCAAAATCTACTTATTTTGAAAAGTATTTTTGTTTAAAAGTGCTTTCCAAAAAAAGTACTTTTAAAGATAAGCAGTTTGTGTTTGGTCAAGCCGTTTGAGAAGTATTTTTTGCGATATTTGATAAGCAAGTTATGTTTGGCCAATCTTTTCAAAAAGCACTTTTGAGTATCAAATTACGATAAAGGAGATTTACTTTACAATTAGCATAATTCTAAAAGAGAAATTTTAAATATTTATCTCATAAGAACTTAATATTTTATTTTTATTTTTATGGAATTAAAGTACAAAACAACTATTAATTTTTGAGAAAACAACAAACTAGGTAGTGTTGCATTATGTCAACTATTTATATGCATGCACACCAAAAAGAAAATATAATAAAACTATAAACTGGAGATCATATAATATTAGTATACTGAAGAAGAAAAAAAAGTAAAGGTGTTAATCCGACTGCGCTGGCCCACTAACAACCCGGTTCGACCCGGTTCAAGCCGTGTCAGCCCGGTCCGGTAAGGGGTGAGACGGATTGGCTAGGGTAGGGGATTGTGGCGGACGGGGATGGGCCTTTTTTGGCTGCCGGCACGCTGAAACCCGGCTAGCCCGGTAACCCGTTCAAGGGTTTTAACCATGTTCCAACCTGGTTTAAGTTGTAAATTTTTATTTTTTAAAAATTATGACCATTGCTAACGGTCAAAATAAAAAATGACTATTGGGCAACGATTATTTTTGCACTTTTAGCCATTTCAGCCTATCCCTTACTAAAATAGCCCATCCATTCCTAATAATTGATAAATTATATTTTTAGCCTTTTAAAAACTATAAATTGTCCCCCATCTTCTTTATTTTTCTCACAACTTGCTCTCTTTTTAAAGTTTAAAATTTTAATTTTATGCCTTAAAATACGTATTTTATTATTTAAAAGTTTGCAAACACTAGAATATCGATTATATTGAATAAGGGAACATAATACACACAAAAAAAAAAACGGTCCAGTTCAGATCAGATAAGCCTGAACCCAGACGAGTCCAATAAAACTCGGAATATCCCAGCCCACTATCAGCCCGGAACCCCAGCCCACTAACTAGCCTGCTCCACTAACCGGACGGCTGTTTCTTCCCATGCCCAGCCCGTCCGGTAAACATCCTTAAAAAAAAAAAGAAATCTTACATAATGAAAAAGTGCTCGAATCTGGTGATTAGTCTTGTTATTTTAAAGAGTAATAGGACACGAAGAAAAGAAGAAACGACAGAAGAGAAAAAGATCTATTTATACTTTTATTTATACTTTTATAGTAGAGATTATTCCAAATAGGAATAAGAGAATAAGAATAAAAAGACAGTAAAAATAAAAATAAAAAGGGTTAAATTAATAAGGAATAATTTCGGAAATATAATTTAATGTTGAGGATATTTTTGTCATGAAAAAATAATTTGCTGCTTCTGCTTCTTAAAAAAGCTAAAATTTGAATTTTTTAAAAAAGCAGAAAAGTCGCTTCTACTATTGCTTAAAAGCAATTTTCTGAAAAAAGTACTTTTGTCCTCCCATAAGTTTGGCCAAACAGGTTCTTAATCACATTTATCTATATTTACTTCTCTTGAGTTTAATAATCACAAAGAGTTGTCTTTAAAAAAGTTTTAATTCAACTTTATTTGCTATATCTTTTGCTAAGAAAATTCATTATGAATTCTTTATTTTTTAAATTCGTAGGCTCGTGATATTTTAAAATTTGTCTCGAATTATAGATTTTTTTCCCTTCACCTGTTATCCGCTAAATATACTAGTGAGAGCGAAGCTTAAAAAAAGGGACAAAGATCAACTTTAGTGCATGCTCGAAACTATTTAAATCTGGTAGCGGTAAAAATGTATAAAATTTATATTTTTTTTAATATATAACATACAAAAATATGTATATACACACAAAAAAAATATATACTATATGTTTGGCTGTTATTTTCAGAGCACATATACAATGTCATTTTTTCCTATAATACTCTCCTTTTGTCCTTCCCTAAATGCGATTCCATCCATAGATTTCCATTCTACATTTGTTTTTTTTTTCATGATCTTAAATAAATTCAATTTCGGAACCTCAATAACTTCATTCTAATTATGTCGCTTCTAAAACAAGAAAAGATTGAGGCATTTGCATCTATACCCGTTTTTTGTATCACGTTTTAACTTGTGTTCGCTTTGCAAAAAAATTGCAAGTGTACCCGCTTTTTTCGCATAACTTCAGCATACAGGGGTGAAGTAGCAAAGACAATCACACAAAACTTCAGCATTCTAGTAGCTGGGCCTGAAGTTCAGCTCTAGAGCTGAAATTTTTGTTTTTATAACTGGCGAAGTTTTTGTTTTGTAACTGGCGAGCTGAAGTTTTTATTTTGTAACTGACGAACTTCAGCTCTAGAGCTGAAGCACCACAATTAGCAGTGATTTTTTAAGAAAAATAGTGTACATCTTCTCAGCTCAAACACGAAAACTCCAAAATTTTATAGCTCATCCTATTGATAACTTAAACTTTTTTCTAAGACTAATTTGCTGTAAATTTGGAGCAGAAGTACAACTGCCGAATTGTTCAATTAAAAAAAATTGACCTTATAACTAAAGCAGCGTCGCTTCTGGAGATAAATACCAGTTTATTTTGTAACTTGAAGAAGAAAACGAAAAAGGAGAAAGGGGGCTGAAATTATTTAATAAGTGAGTACAAATTAAAAATTTAAAAATAAATAGGTATAAGTTAAATGAGGGCGATCAAATAGGGCGTCCCGTGCAATTTTTACGAAAAAATTAGAAAAAATATGTCACTATGAACTATATCAAGACAACCACATAAACACAATACAAAACGATTAACAAAAAAGGGACATAACTAAATTGTGGCAAAAGGATTGGGATTAATCAAATTTAGCTTCATTTGTTTTTTAAAGATTAAAACGTCCTGGATGTACCTCTAAATATTAAGATTAGAACATCTAAATATTAAAATATGTATTAATATCCGAATGCCAGATAATTAAGACTGTGTTTATCTTTATTTAAACATTAATAAATAAATAATTCAAATAAAATACTAATTTCAGGATATTTTTTTAAAAATACTTTATTAATAGAATATTTAATTAATTAGTATTTTATTAATAGAATACAATTTTGTATTCTCAAACTAGAATACATAAAATACAAAATGATTAACCAAAAAAGGACACAACTAAATTATAGAAAAAAGATTGAGATTAATCAGATTTAGATACACTCATCATCATCATCATCTTCTTCTTCCTGTCATCATCCTTTAAAAAAAAAACCCAGTAATTTTTCCAGATCTTGACACTCTGGCAGTATTATCTTGAGTACAACAAAATTAACAAAAAAAAAAGGAAAAAAAGGGGACAAAAATGGATTATTACAAAGAAAATAGGGAGAAAAAGTTAGAATCAAGAAAATCCATGACCGATACCCCAACAACACCACTACTTGACAACTCTTATCAAAACCACAACCGCCACTTCTATTTTAACCGCTTTAATTCATTTCCCAATTCCGCCGTTGAAATGACCACAACTATTCCTCCTAAGCATCTTCGTTCAGTGTTCCTTGGTGTTGATGTTGGTACTGGTAGTGCTCGTGCAGGTTAGGTTCTGTTTTTTTTTTAAAAATAATTGGTGAAGTATTTAATTGTTTTTTGTTTTTTTGGGTTTTTTGAGATTGGCTATGGTGATAAAATAATGGGGTTTTTGTGTAGACCTTGACTAGTTGGCTTATTGCCTTGAACTCATAGCTTATCTTATTTACTGGGTTTGCAATATATGGTCTAAGCAAAAGTTACTGGGCCCGTGACTAATGATCTAGCTCGCCTCTTGAAGCATGCAAGTTTAGTGCTTGTTGATATGAGTGAATTGTGATTGGTTATTTTGGGTTTTGAGGTTGGTTATGGTGAAAAAATCATGGCTTTTTTGTGTTGACAGTAAGTTTTGCTTATATTCATCAATTTGTGTGCATTTCGTAATGGAAAACAACAACAATGGCTTAGTCGTAACCAAGTTGTGTCAGGTACATGAATCCTCATTGGCTATGAGGATTCATTTTATGAATTGGTTACTGGCCTACTGCAATCCTCCTCCTTTATATTGGCTTGGGACCGGCAATGTGAGCAAGTTCATACAGGAGGAGGCATTTGTTAATGAAAAAAAAGCACCCAAATTTGGTAATGCACTTGTTGGTGTCACTTAATTTTGTTTTTTGGGGTTTCGAGAATGATTATGGTGAAAAAAATCATATTTTTTTTTGTTGACCTCGGGTTAATGGCTAATTTTTGGTTTTATTTTTCATTATTGTGGGATGAAGTTGTTTATGATTGGTTGTGGTGAAATATTCATTGAGTTTGTGAACAAGTGCTTAATATTTATTCATTTGTAATTTTGTATGCAAGTTGATGTTTTGATGTTAGTGATGGCAATGGCGGAGCCAGGAATTCTAGCAAGGGGATTAAAAAAAAATACAATAATGTCATACATGTTATTTGAACCTATAACCTAAAGTAATCTTGAATCCCCTTTACCTTTAACACTACACTAGAAGTTTCTCTTACATTAAGGAGTTTCAAAAGCTTAGAAATAAATAAAAGAAATTGTTTATATTCTATTTGCATAGTATAACTATTCAGTGAAAGGGATTCAATTGAACCTCCTTCCCAATAGGTAATTCCGCCCCTGGGTGATGAGTATGCGGCTGGATGGTATAAGCAATTCTGATTGGTATTATAGGTTTTAGGATGGGTTATGAATCTTTTTTGTGTTCATCGTAACTTAGCTTTGAGTTCAGCAGTTTGTGTTGCAGCTACTGGAATCTGGAATGATATGCGAGGCAAGTGGATTATGTTTCTGTACGTTGGATGAGAACAGTGATTCTATTTCCAGTCTTATCTGGGTCTCACACTTGTTTAATGGAAAGATGATTGGTTTGGGCATTTGTACTGTTCTTGTAGGATTGTTTCATCCAAAATATACCGGGACTTGAATTCTAGTCTTTCGCACTGTGTCGTTAGTGCATATAGAGTTGGTGTCGATTTGGCGGGGATCATGCAATCTGTATGCATGAGCTAGCGTTTTGGGGGGAGAGAAATAGGAGAGCTTTTGAGGGGATTGAGTCTCCTTTTTCACATTCTAAGAATAGTCTTTTATCTTTGATCGCTTTTTGGTGCACTCATATAGCCCCTACTTGTATATAAGATTGGGCGTCATTTGTAGAGAATCATGTTCCGATGTAAATTCTTTACTTTTTGGTATATTCTTGTATACGGGAGTTTTCTCCCTTTTGATTAATACAATTTACCTTACCAAAAAAAAGTTGGAGAGAATTTGCAGAAAAAAAATTCTTTGCTAGGAAAAGTTCTACGGCCTACTTTATCGAATTGGTCATTCATGACTAGTTGACATTGCATTGACCAGACACTTTATTTGGTGATAGGGTACTAGTGAATAATGATTGATGAAGAAGTTGGCAGACGTGTCACAGGTCATGCCACGCTGAAAAACTTTAATAAAGTGTATGCATATCTAGAACTTCAGTTAGCGAATTTAGTATTTCAGGAGTTTGAGCTTCAATCTTGCAGTAACCTGATGCTGCTTGATATTATTATCTCTATATACAAATGTATTTCTTAATCTACAATAATTATAAAAAAAATAATCTTAAGCTTTGATCTTGTTCATGAGCTATTCCAGTTCTTTTCTTCAACAAAGAGTGGGAGGTGGTGTCATCCTTACAAGTACAATCTACTTGTAGACCTTTAGTTGCAGTCAGCCTAAATCTTGAATGGAAAATAAATGTTCATCAGAAGCAAAAAGTGCAGAAACCCTTTGAAAAATGTTAACCAATGAAGAAAAATATGAAGAGAAAGCTCTTCTTATGAAAGAGACCCTGTGTTGTTAAGTTATATTCTTCTAATCCATATTCTTTTATGCTTTTTGTCAACTCTTCTTTGTCACTTCCAGTAAATTAAAGATGCAAGCATTTGTAACTTATTAGAGGCTTTATTTGCCAAAACACGACTGGTCCTATGTGCATGAATGTTGAATTGCTATGTTACATATTTTCTCCCGAACATTCTCTTCATAGTTGCCTCTCTAGTAAGGACCTTAATTTATTTCCTACTCAGGACACAGTTAACAAGTTGAGGGCAGCCTGCTAAAGTACAAGCCTTTTCATATTTGGGCAACAAAATTGTGTTGGCTTTTAGGTCTATGTATAATGTCAAGCTTGTGTTGCTATAGTCAATACTGATTGGTTATATGTAACTAATGTTAAGATTACAATTTAATGCAGGTCTCTTTAATGAGGAGGGGAAGCTTCTAGGTTCTGCCAGTAGCCCAATACAGATATGGAAAGACGGTGACTGTGTTGAGGTCTGTCAAGTAAAGATAACTATCTTAAGAATAGACATTCCTTGTTCTTGCTTTTCTTCTTTGTCTATACGGTTGATTTCCCTCATTCTTTTTGGTCAATCTTTGGTGGTTGTGTCCTATGTTGCGCGGACTCTCCAAAATGTAGCCGCACCCGTGTCGGATCCTTCAAAAATGCACTACTTTTGGAGGATCCGACACGTATCCGGCCACATTTTTAGAGAGTCCGAGCAACATAGGTTGTGTCACATTACAATATATTACTTGATACTTGATTGTAATATGTTTTTAGAAGATATAAATGAGAAAACTGTTCTATGTTTTGCTTTTGCAATTAAAGAATTAGTGCTTGTTCTTCCTTTTCAGTTTTTTCTGTTTCTGATTTCATTTATGTGGTTCTTCAAATCCAGCAATCCTCGACTGATATTTGGCTAGCAATCTGCACTGCGGTAAAAACAGCATGTTCCCTCGGAAATGTTTCCAAGGAAGAAGTTAAGGGACTGGGGTTTGCTGCTACTTGTTCTCTTGGTATGCAGTCACTAACTGCTGATTTTCATCTTAGTGAATCTGTCTAGTGTGTTGATTGAGGTATATGAGCAGAATTATGGTAGTAAGTAACATGGATGGATTGGTTCCTCTGTGCAGTTGCTGTTGATTCTGAGGGTGAACCTGTCACGGTTTCCTGGAGTGGTGATACTAGAAGGAACATCATAGTGTGGATGGACCATAGGGCTGTAAAACAAGCTGAGAGGATCAATGCCTCTAACTCACCTGTATTGCAGTACTGTGGTGGAGGCGTTTCCCCCGAGATGGAGCCACCAAAGGTACATATACTTGTAGGAGGCCTGCTGTTTTATGTCTAGCATATTTTTCATGAATGAAATTCTTGACTCTGTAAAGTAACATGTATGGATATAGCTCCAATCAAAAGGAGTATAGTGAGTAATTCTCGTCCTCTAAGAGTTGTCAGAAAATGAAAAACTTAACGTCAAACTAAGAGATGCAACACGGATGATAAGTGAAACAAAAGGGCACCATGGTTCCATAGATATTTGGCTTTATAAACTTAAATAAATAGCTCCACTAGTTGTGCTATAAGAGTTACATATGCAGATTGATGTGATCTCACCATACTAGATCCATTTTGGAACTCATCCTATTTGACTGTTCATTATGCACTGAATTTCTTCAAATTAACAGATGTGGACACTACTAATTAGAGAAGTCTTATTTTTCCATACTTCTAAGTTTTCTCTTGACACATTCTATGAAATGTTGCCAGATCCCACTTGTAGGATTATACTGGGCCGTTGTTGTTGTACATTCTATGAAATGTTCCATGCTCCTTGTATGGTTAGGAAATTTATGCTTTTTTGAGGCCAACACTTTATCAAACAACAATGTATCCAGATTCATATAAAATCCAAGAGACTGGTCAGCATTCCCTGATTGAACTTGGGCAGGAAAAAACTAGTCTATGTTATGCTGCACCTAACTGTCTGATAATTAATAATCTGTTTTCCATATGGTCTGGAGCAAAAGCCATCGTAGCATTTTGCTTTTCATTTTTTTGCTCTTCTCCTGGGAGCACCAAGGAGAAGAAATGGTTGGAGGAACTTAACAGATACTGAATTAGAACTTTTTGCTGATAATTTAATGCCAGAAAATACCAATATCAGCTGAAGCCTATGAAACATGTCCAAATAGAGTACAGTACATCGAAAGAGTAGTTAAATGCTTACATTATTGATGATCAGGTGAGTTGTAGACGTTTTCACTTCGGATGACCCCTCTTATCTTGGTAATTGTGTAGCATTAGGAGACTAAGGTAGTGCTAGTTCAGTATGAAGCTCTTAAGCCCTGAGCCACATACACCTTTGCTGAACGTACCCAAGAAAAAAGGTGCAGGAGTATGAGAGTAAGAAGCAATAGAATAAAGTTCCGATCCTTGTCAAAGAGACTGATTTAAGAGCTGTAGGTTGTCAAAAATTTGCTATATAGTGTTGTGCTCTGGATATGTGCTTGCTTTTCTGTGGTCTTGAATGATACTTTTGGAATCCTGTGGAATGACTGATGTTATTGGGGATGAGGACATGCATACCTTCGTTACCTTGTAGTGAATGAATATCAGATAACAGCTGTACCTTCCTTCTGAATCATATACTGGCGAATGAGTGTGCGTTGTTTATACAGCTTGCTCTTGACATCTTTACGCTTCTTGCTTTCTACTGTATGAAGTAAAAAAGGGAAAGTTGAAGTTTCTAATTACTTTCTTGATCATCATATCTGATATGCTTTATTACTACTAGTTGATACAAAATTGTTTTTACAGCTCTTGTGGGTGAAGGAAAATCTCCAAGAATCCTGGTCAATGGCATTTAGGTGGATGGATCTAAGTGATTGGTTAACATACAAGTAAGAAATAGCTCATGAACCATAGCTTTTGAGTTTTAAACAGGAAAAGGTGATTCCATCTATTCTGTTAACTTATTAGAGCAACAGGAGATGACACAAGGAGTCTATGCACCACCGTCTGCAAATGGACATATCTAGGTCACGCGCACATGCAGCAGATAAATGAGAGAGATTCCCGTGATATGGAAGCTTGTGGATGGGATGATGAATTCTGGGAGGAGATTGGTTTAGGTGATCTTGTTGATGGACATCATGCTAAGATAGGTATATTTGAAGCTTCACCTAAATTACTGAAATGTATGACTTGGAAAAAATTCATGGAACTAACTTTGTTGCAAACTTGTTAATCCCTATTTATCATCTTATCTGAAGTCATGCTACAATGTGCGACTTTTGAAAGTCATTGAGAATTGAGCATTGAGTTGCTGGAACAGATACAGTTCACCTCTCATAAGATTAGGGATTAGTTGAGGATTAATAAACTGATTGGTTGGTCTTCTCTCGCAAAAAAGGAAAGGAAAGGAAAAATCACAAATTTCTGCATCAGTTCATGTTAGGTTGCCATTAGCATTTTACTGATGCACCCTCCTGGCAATCAGTGGTCGTTTCTGCTTAGCATCCTTTTCCTTCATTTATTAATTCTTTCTTTTCTTTTTTTCTTGTTCTCTTTTTCTGTTGTTTTTTTATTTTTGGTTTTTTGCTCTTTCTAGTTTATATATGGATTGTTTAGGCTAATTGTCTCAAAGGGTCAATATTTATTTATGTTGCTCATATGGTGGAAGATCATTTGATCTTAAGAACTGCTTAGTTATTCTTATCATGATTTTCTACTAAAAATGTGCAGGCCGAAGTGTAGCATTCCCTGGTCATGCATTGGGTTCGGGTTTAACACTGGATGCTGCAAAGGTGAAGAATTCATAAGAATCACATTGCATCTTGAGTTCTTGATTATTAGCAAAAGTGAAAAAAAGGACACAATCATATTTAATTATGTGGACTTTGATGGTTATGAGTGCCTTACTTTCCTCATGCTTTTGAGTTAATTTTACTAAGGTGCTGCTTATGTTTCAGGAATTGGGCTTGATGGCGGGGACACCTGTAGGTACTGCACTGATAGATGCTCATGCTGGTGGTGTCGGTGTAATGGAAAGTGTGCCTGCATCAGATTCTGAATCTATAGGTTGTTATTATTGAGTAATCTTCTGCACTATGTTGAATGATTAAAATATCTTCACATATATTGTTGACTAGATTTACTTATCGATGGAGTGTTACTGTAATTTTGAAAGTTGATGAGGATGCTATAAGTAGGCGTATGGTGCTCGTATGTGGTACTTCCACATGTCACATGGCTGTATCCAGGACAAAGTTATTCATACCTGGAGTTTGGGGACCTTTCTGGTCAGGTACACCTCCACTTTGCAATGTACCTCTTGTTTCTTCAAACTATTTTTGTACAAATGGTGGAAATGATACTATCAAAATTTACTGCTACCTTCTTCCAACTAAAGACGGAGATAATTATCAAGATTTAGGGGTCATGTGCATATGCATAGTCGAAATGTTTTTACTAATGCTGACAAGCTGTATAAGAATTACTTATGATTATCTTTCTCAAAAAAAAGAATTACTTATGATTACATATTAGGTTCTGCATTTAGTTGAAGCATTAATCTAGGAGGGTTCCCATATTTTTATCTGATATGCTACTGCTTTTGTTACAAAGCAAATGATGTTTTGTCATTTTGGTTTTGCAATATTTTCAGCAATGGTGCCTGAGTACTGGCTCACTGAAGGAGGACAGAGTGCCACTGGTGCATTGCTAGACTATATTATTGAAAATCACGTTGCATCCCCACATCTTGCAAATCGTGCTGCATCTCGAAGTAAGATGACCTTGATGTGTCATTTACGAAAATATGTGTGGCGCTCCTTGTCAAATTCTCTTCTTAGTTATGCTTCAACTCACATGCAATTTGCTTTTTGCTATTTCCTCTGTTGCAATCGCCTCCTGCTTACCAGTTAAAGTCTGTTCTCTGCTAGGAATCTCAATATTTGACTTGTTGAATGAGATATTGGAATCAATGAAGCAAGATGAGGGATCACAATTTATATCTGCATTGACTAAGGATTTGCATATCCTCCCAGATTTTCATGGTAACAGGTATAGTGATGAAGAATTGTTAATAAGTTTTTCACCTCGATTCCCTAATTATCTGCTCTAAAATACACGCAAAATTTCTATTCAGGTCCCCAATTGCAGACCCGAAGTCAAAAGGGATGATTTCTGGTTTAACACTTGACACTAGTGAAAAGCAGCTGGCACTTCTCTACCTTGCGACAGTACAGGGCATTGCATATGGAACCCGCCATATAGTAGAGCACTGCAATGCTAATGGACACAACGTAAGGACTCATATCCTGATACTACTATGTATCTTTTACTGTGGAATTGCTATTGCTCTCTTTTTTAGAAACTTTTACATTTTGTACTCTGATAGCTTATGTAGTTTCTGATATAAAAAAGCAGTTGCCACCACTAAATTTCCAGATTCATGCCTTGTGATAATTTTAATGTATAAAAGAAACAGCTATGAAGGAAGTCTCTTAAAAATTTTATCTTTTTTTTTTTTTTTGGTTGTAAACAGGAAATTTTATTAAATACTAAGTAATATTACATAGATCACCCCCAGCCATCCCATTGGGATCGAAAATGGGAGATGTTACAAAAGAACTAGAGCTATTCACTGCATTAATATCACCCATACTAGCTAGCTTAATACAAGATTCTTCCGATATAGATCTAAGGTAGGATTTCCCAACAGCGTCATCTTTCATTGCTGCCTCCACCATTGGCGTAGGTGCATGAAGGATGATTGTTTTATTCATATTCCTAAGCTTGGTACCGTCTTTTGCCAAGAGGTGCGCCACAGAATTTGCTTCTCGGAAGTTATGTCTGAGCAGCGGGATCCCCAACTGGGCCATTGACCACCTGCATGAAGAGATAATGTGGTTATAAATTTGATGATCAGTACTGAGAAGATTTGTTACCTCTGTTGAGTCCGTTTCGATTTCAAGAGGATGGAGCTTAAACTGTACAGCAACTCTTAGACCTGTTTCCAGCGCAAGGAGCTCTGCTTGAGTATTGCTAATGACCTCTTAAAAATGTTATCACATGGTTATAAGTCTGTAATGATGTCAATACCTAGCCAATTATAACTATCTTGGTCTAATATCACTGCCTTCATTTGGAAGCTTAAACAATTTGCTCGGGTGGGATATGAGATTTCTTCCTGACTTTTTTGGTTCTGTTTGCATTCCCCCCCCCCAAACTTTTTTTTTTTTGTGTGTATGTCAGCTGCTTAGGTCATGAATATGACATTTTGGCGGCAAGCATATGCATCTTTGACAAGACTTGGACTGTTAATAGTTGGTATTCAAAGGAAAGATTTTGTGGTAACAGTGGTCGGAGGTTAGGATGTGGCGGAGAAAGAACCTAATAATGGATTATTTGTCTTTCAGAATTTCTTATTGATCACTTTGATCTTCTATGTAGTTGCTTTTCTTATGCTGGGAGCTTTCAGCATAAAGTATACATGCCTTCCATTTTGATACCTGAACCAATATTTACTGCCTTGCTTGAAGTGATCTTCTTCCTTATATTGTTTCTTCATGTCCAGATTGACACCCTACTTGCCTGTGGTGGACTTGCAAAGAATCGACTATTTGTTCAAGAACATGCGGATATTATTGGTCTCTCTCTCTCTCTCTCTCTCTCATACTCAGTCTCTTATGCTGCTTATCAATGAGTTATGTAATATACATGAAGTGGATGAATATGTGAACATGTTTGTGGATGCATATATTCTGTGCATGCCATTCCCAATCAGTTAGTCAGTTTAGTTGTAGCAAATTTAAATCGAACACTGAAAGTTACAGTACCCGGTGGTCTTGGAGCTGCTAACTGGCAATTAGGTTTAGAAGAGCATCTTGCATATCTGTGCTTTTCGGTATCTGTTCTAGTTCTTAGAAGTGGATCACGGTCCAGCTATACTTGTAAAATGCACTGTCCTTCCACCCTTGTTGACGCCAGAAAAAATATAAAAAGCTTGCTTAATATCCTCGTACCTCATTGTTGACGCCAGCACAAAATTCGAAGCTAGCATCATATCCTCGCTTGTGGACCTCCTCTAGAACAATAAGAAATGAAATAGAAGGAAATAACCTGAAACACCAAGTTAAGAAGTGCTAGATTTCTATGGATGGTAGTGAATCCTAAACTTTCCCTTGAGCTTCCCAATTGCTGAAAAGGGTGTGTTATAGCTTTCAATTTGTTATCTTTCAGTATCTGCATGTTGTGTTATAGCTTTCAATTTGTTTTCTTTCAGTATCTGCATGAAGCCTTAACCTGGGTACTGAATAATCCATCTGTGTGTTTTGGATATGTTAATCAATTCCAACCTGTATTATATCTTGTGCAGGTTACCCTATCATTCTTCCACGCGAAAATGAATCTGTGCTATTGGGCGCTTCTATTCTTGGTGCTGTTGCTTCAAAGAAATATCCTACTGTTCGTGAGGCCATGAAAGCAATGAATGCTGCTGGTCAGGTGTGTGCGACTGTCAGTACATTATTTACGTGCTTAATTTGAAAAGAAAGAGCATTTGACTAATGTCACAGGAAGAGGAACCTTTAATCATAGCTTTTTCTTTTTTATTTTTAGAACTATTTTTTAAGTTTTTTTTTTTTTTTAAGAACTATTTTTTTATTGTTAGTTTCTTCTGTTTAGATCTTGTTGGGATAGATTAAATGTTCCACAAAGTCCTTTACTGCACCATCATGTTACTTGCTTAGAGGCTGTCTTGTTTGCTTCATCCGGATAATCTAATGGAAGATCTCCTCCTCTTCCCCCTCCACCGCCACCCTCCTTGGTGCCATACACCTTTGCGAAACCAGATTATAGCAGTTTTATCTTCCGGTATATTACTGGACTTTGTGCTTACCAATTCGAAAGAAATTTGGAAAAAAAGTCTTACCCCTTCCTGGTATTCTCCATCTTCCTTTAAGTTTTCAAGGTGCCTTGTTGTTCTTATGGGTTTCATGCGGTTGATGGCAGGTTGTGTATCCATCTAAAGACCCAAAAGTGAAGAAGTACCACGATGCCAAATACAGCATCTTCCGCGAGCTTTATGAGCAGCAACAGAAGCATCGTTCACTTATGACCGAGGCTTTGTCATGAGATTCTTTCTCTTGTATTTCTTTGACCTTTATTTGATGTATAAAAGGCATTTGAAGATGTATCACTAATTCAGCAATTATCAAGTGTACAGTTTTTTTTTTTTGCCCTCTTCATGTCATATGATTTTATTTTTCTTTGGGGATCTTTCAGTTTTAGTGCCAATCTGATAGCATAGGTCCAATAGCCCATTGCTTCTTGTTTGCATTCATCTCGAGCTTGTTTAGCAGATCAGCATAAGTCCCTTCAATCAATTTGCATGAATTGAATACATCTCCTGATCTATAGTGCATAAACTCTAGTGACAATTTTAAGCAATAAAACTTTATAGCTAAAAGAATAATGCATGTCATGTGTTTATATTTGGTGTATGCATCAAGTATACATATGATTTTTCCTATTGTATAATCATGGTCACACTTTGTTTTAATTTATGACTGTAGTTTAATTTGCATATCGCCGTCTTCAGTGGAGCATTTGCATCTATACCCGCTTTTTGGGTCAGGTTTTAACTTGTGCCCGCTTTGTAAGAAAAATTGCAAGCGTACCCACTTTTTCGTGTAACTTTAGCATACGGGGCTGAAGTAGTAAAGGCAATCACGCAAAACTTCAGCATTCTAGTAGACGGGATTGAAGTAGCAAGTGTGCTGAAGTTTTTGTTTGTAATTGCTGAACTTAAGCATAGTAGCTGAAGTTTTGTTCTCTATTTGTTGAAGTTTTTGTTTGTAATTGCTGAAGTTTTTGTTTTTGTAACTGACGAACTTCAGCTCTAGAGCTAAAGTTTTTGTTTGTACCTAACGAACTTTAGCCTTCTTAGAGTTGAAGTTTTAACTGACTTTCCATATGATTCAAACGTTGAAAGTATTATATGGAAATACAGGTGCTCACAAACTTATGTAATCCTCTTGGTCAGATTCCTCCAATTTGGTATACTTCTTAAATACCAAATTGATGAACTAAAGGTTTCTATCTCCACAGCCCATGTCAATTACTGGAACATTTTCACAATCAGCGACTTCAGAAAGGAGTGGCCTATCGCATTGAAGACGGATATAACTTTGAGGAGAAGGAGAAGAAGAAAGGGGACTGAAATTGTTTAAAAAGTGGGTACAAATTAAAACTTTTTTAAAAAATGGGTATAGGTTAAATGAGGGCGACCAAATAGGGTGCCCTGTGCAATTTTTACGTCTTCAGTGGCAACCTTGATTTGTAGTATTCATTTCCAGTGGTGACCCAAAGAGTCACCACCAAATGTAGTATTGGTATGTCATCGTTTTCAGTGGCGACCCCAAAAGAGCGCTAACAAAAGTAATATTATATGTCGGCATTTTCAGTATCAACCCAAAAGTCGCCACCAAAGGTAATATTATATGACTCCATTTTCAGTGCCGACCCAAAAGTCGCCACCAAAGATAATATTATGTCTCCATTTTCAGTAGCGACCCAGAAAATCGCCACCAAAACTAATCGTTTTCCATTTTGACCCAAAACGTCGCCACCAAAAGAAATATTATATGTCGCCATTTTTAGTAGCGAGCCAAAAAGGCGCCACCAAAAGTAGTATTGGTATGTCGTCCTTTTAGTAGCGACTTGGAATGTCGCCGTTTTTAGTGGCGACCCAGAAAGTTGCCGCAAAGAGTAATATCATGTGTTGCTTTTTCAGCAGCGACCCAAAAAGTCGCAACCAAAAGTAATATTATATGTTGCATTTTTCAGCGGTGACCCAAGTTGTCGCCACTAAAAGTTATAAAGTCGCCACGAAAGGTAGTGCTAGACTTGGGTAAAACAAAGTTAGTGATGATAAATAATTTTTTAAGCCAAATTGATGCCACCATTTTTTTTTACAAATGAATAGACAATTAACTATGTTAGACTTATACATCTTTAGTTCTTANTATATATATTGTGATACTTTCCTTTCTTATGTTTCAACCTTTATCTTTTAATAGTGATGGATAAAATAGAAAATAAGGTTGCTTCAATACATAACTTGAGCATGAGCAGTTGGAAAAGGTAAATTCCATTAATCACAGCACAAAGTGAGTGCTTAAAATTGTGTACAAGGACTATGGAGATAGACCTTTTCATCATATAGGGAATCTAAAAGTCTAACATCAAAAGTATAGGATAGTATTCATAATAAAGCTAATAAGAAAATTTACCTTAACTTATACCAAATTACCATGCTTAAACTGACAGTTTAATGCAAGAGAAAAAGTACAGTAGAATAAGTTCTGATGTAAAATAGGATTTAAACAAGCATTCCTACCACAAACTTTTGCATTTTCAACTAGACATTGATGCCAATATTCAGCGGAAAGCAAATCTTAGTTTCTATTTGTAGCAACAGAAGGCATTCAACTAAGATATATAATTCGCATTGTAAGTACGCATTTTATAAATCTTAATGGTAGAATGCGTTTTACAATTTCACCAACTCGTTCATAAATAGTGCGGATGCGTTTATAACTGATCTTTCCTAGCTTAGCTTTCACTTCCTTTTTTTCGGTAAAAATAGCACGGTATAGCCAGTTTTCGGACGGGTCATTCAAAAATAGCCAGCGTTTACGAAGTCAATGAAAAATAGCCACTATTTTGCTGCAACAGAGACCGGTCCAGCATAATATAATGGAGTTCGGTGCACCTGTATATTAACTCCAGCATATTATGCTGGACCGGTATACTTTGTTGACTCCAATATAATATACTGGAGACTGGAGCACCGGTGCTCCAAACTCCAGTATATTATACTGGACAATTATACTTGCTGGAACTCTAGTATATTATGCTGGAGTTCAAGCATACTTATGCTGGAACTCTAGTATAATATACTGGCGTATTTTCTGAGTTTTGAACAGTATTTTCGCTCAGATTTATCTTTACATGAAAAGTGGCTAAATTTCGATTACTTTTGAAATTGGACTATTTTTGAACGACCAGTTGTAAATCTGGCTATTTTTGAATTTCTCCCTTTTTTTCATCTATAAAGAATTATCTACAGGTTCGAAATAGAAAAAGATTTATCTAACAGCAAAACTTTTCAACTTTGCTTAATTATTTTTAGTAAAAGGAAAACAAATCATGAAAATTAATCTTTTTTTTTAAAAAAAGAAGATGATAGTCTATAATTTTGAAAATGAAATCATGAATATTAAATGAAATAGAGAGAATCAAGAAAAACATCTACCATAGAAATCATGACAGATATGACCTTGGATTAACTTTGATTTTACAACAACATTAACATCATATAACAAAGCTTTGAAGACTATCCTCTAACCTCTAATTTTGCAATATTTGTTGGAACAATCTTTCATGCAACCTCGCCATTGTTTGTCATCTGCACAAAGCAAATAAATACACAAAATAAATATGTTAGTACCTAAACTCGGAGGAAAAGTACAAGAAGTCAACAACATATTCGGTGAAATTCTATAAGTGGCCGTCTAGGGAGGGTGAGGTGTACGCAGACATTATCTTTACCTTGTGAGAGATAGAGGTTGTTTCCGATAGACCCTCGGCTCAACAAAAACGTTTTTAAAATCGGTTTGAAAAAAAAAACGAGAAAAAAGTTAGAGTAAAATATTGTAGAAAGGAAAGAAAAAGTACTGCTAGGAAAAGTAGTAAAGATAATCCAAATAAAAGAAACAACAAAAAAACTCGGAGGAAAAGTAATACAAAGAAAATCTTATATACTTTATTTACCGGTCTTCAGTGAAAATAACCATTTAACTAAAAGAATATATTTTTAATGGGTCATAAAACTGATCTTCCCAGCCAGGGCGGCCCGATGCACAAAGAATCCCACGTTCACGTAAGGTTTGGGAAAGGGCCGCACCCCAAGGGGTGTAGTGTTGACAGCTTACCTTAATACAAATATTGATAATTGCTTCCACCGCTCGAACTCGTGATCTCCCCAACCAAGGCAACCGGATGTACAAGGCATCCCGCATTTATGCAGGATCCAGGGAAGGGCCGCAACCCCAAATAATGTAACGTAGACAGTTTATCCTAATGCAAGCATTATTAGTGACTGATTTTACGGCTCGAACTCGTGATCTCCCCGACCAGACGTTGCAATTTCTTTAAGATCTACTCAAGCCAAAAGAAGTTAGAAAAGAAGGTACCTTTGATTAAACTTGCACAATTATGAATTGAACAACCAATGTTGCAATATTGCATAGGAGAAGAAGTATTAGGTGAATCCTGGCATTCTGTTCCACATCTCGATTCATCGCAATTTAATCCACACATTTTATAACATCCTGGATTTTGATAACATGCACGAATACAATCTCTAAAACATTTTTGATTCAATTTACATGATACTTGTGAAGTAGAAATCAACATTAACATCAAAATTGCCATTAATATTGGAATAATATTTGCCTCAATCTTCTTTGCCATATTTTTGACTAAATTGTTTGTTCTCAGTTTATTATTTTGGAGTTTGATCTGATGGTGCTACTTATATATTGAATAGATTAGTGATATTGCCAGAGTAATTTTTCTTTGCCATAATTAATATGTGAATTATCTATATTTTCTGCATCAGCACTATAGTTGACTTATGTGTAACAGAAAATCTATGCTATATTAAATGTAGCAAGACTCACATGATCAGATTTGCTTGCAAAGGAGAAGTTTCTTTAGAATCAATTTTCATGTTATGTTATAATATATGTTCTATATAACAACATTGTTAATAATCTGTATTGCTGTAAATAAATAAAACAGTAATCTTTCTGAAAACAGAAACAGAAAGATAGTAAAAATTCTGAAAACAGTATTTGAACTTCAAAATATATTTTGAAACGTTATAGGAACAAATTGAGCCCACTGAATACACAGTGTGTCCTTAAAGAAATTATTCCCCTCAACTATCTCAGGTTCTGGAATATATCCTCCCAGGATAGAACGATTTAACTCACCTGAGTGTTGGTACCAAAAACGCCGATGAACAACGAACTACTCGAAGGCTGTAAAACACACTGGATTTTTTTGTGCAAAAGAAGAAGAAGATTATCAGAAAATTTCGTAAGTCAATATTCTGGGAGTTGAAGGTATATTTATAGCCAATTTGGTACTGTTTCTGTCCAACAGGTG